ATGGGACGGAAGGAGTATCTTTTTTTTTTTTGGTTGGTATAATTTGCAAGTTGCTGTAGACATAAGATCATGAATTTGTGTGATTATGATTTTCAATGTAAATACTATCTAAAAAACATTTGAACTAAATCAATTGATCTATACATTTACTAAATCAATTGATCTATACATTTACTCGTGTAATATAAATCTGAAATTGTAATAGTGACCAAATTAAAACCTGTTTGGTAACAACTTTTTTTTTTTTACCGTAAACTAATTAGCAATAATCAGTGAAACGGTCAGTAATGGTTGATGGCTGTCATGAGGCGGTACAATATACCAATTGATCTGGTTCAAAAACTACAACGAGTATCCGTTAAATCTTGTGGCAATAATTTTCAATGAAAAACAAAGAAATTGATTTGGAACATCCGATAAAATTGGAAGGAGAACAAAGCAAACTGTAAGATTTGACTAAAGTCTTTTTGATAATTCCAAAAAGTCTTTTTTTTTTTTTTACAGTGCCAAACAAAAGGTTCAAAAATCACAGCAGGCTGCCGTCCATGTTCACCATGCAGAAGAGGAAATTAAAAAGAGTGTGGACAGAGAAAACAAAAAGAAGAAGGAAAAAAAAAGAAAAAAAGAAATCCCTTTCCTGCAACTCCCAAATGGATAAAGTGGGCCCTAGTAAGATTTGCCATGTGGCATAATAAAGGTGAAGGTCCACAAGGTAAACTGTTTATCCACAAGGACCATGACCAAATTATTTTATTAATACTACAAAATAAAAAAAATATATGTTTTTCTTTTCTTTCTATTTTTTTTTCTATTTTTAGAGGGAAAGAAAAGAACAGAATAATGAGAAAAGTCAGAGATAGGGAAAGATAGGCAGAGAGCGGCCACGTTTCCGGCAAATATCCACAACTGCTGTTTTGGTTTGGCTGTTTGGTGAGAGTTATTCGGTTCGGTCGGCCAACAACAGTACGGGCCGTCGGTTGCGGCAGAAATTAAATTAAATAAAAGCATATGAACATTTTTATTTTTATTTTTATTTTTTTGTGTTTGAAGAATGAACTTATCAAGTGTCCGTCCAATTCCACAAGTCACACTTTTTGGGTCAATCTGATGGAGAAGAAGAAAAGTGCGGCCGTGATGGACAAACCGGTCAGACCGTGATGGACAAGCCACGTTATTGCTCTTTAAGATTACGAAATGAATGAATAATACCAAAACGTAGATAATGACCAAAAGATGATGAGAATTTTAGGGGATCCTAGAAACCAAAAAAAGATCGCGATGTACATACCCATGTATGGATATGGTGGGTGGACACAATCATACTTTACAACGTTATATTTATTTTGGTGTAACGATCATATTTTATATGTATATTCATTTTTGGACAGTGTAACACGAGTTTTACTACAATAATTAGTATTTTCAGACAATTTCAATCAATATCTCTCATCATCTTTGCATTTCTTTTAATTTCAAAACTCACTAATTATACACCTCTTTTTTCTAGGGGCCTTGATTTCTAGGTCGATTGTCATACTTTACGCTGCACTAAATGAGTTAGATGGTGATGGAGGAAAAGTTATATTTAACGTGGTAATTAAGTGTATTTCATTTCAGTTTCTACAGTTGAACAATTAATTACAGTAGTAAAATTACAGAACTTGACCTTATCTCCAAAGTCAATACCCACGTTGCTCTTACAAAATAAAAATAAAAAATACCCACGTTGGAATGTTAGCTTTGACCGGTCCAATCCTAATCCCACCTCCCCGGGAAGAAATAGAAATTGGGAAGAAAATTTTGTTTCTAGTAGTATTTCCGAAGCAAGAAGGAGATTTTGTTCACAACTTCCTTGCCTAATTAATTTCATATTTTCAAATGTCAACAAAAATTAAATAAAAGTAAACAAGAAACACTGTCCGTCCTTATCTTTTGTCGGAAATAAACTAAAACCTAATTCTATCCGAAACCTTAATTTATCACATGACATTCTAGAAAATTAGGACAATTAAATTGACTAATTAGTTGGCATACTCGGGAAAATTAAGGTTTGAAAGGTTTATCCCCACAATTTAGGTGCATAAATCCAGAATCATAGGGAGGTTGAAATTGAATGACGTGCATTCGGCGTTCAAATAAATCGGCGCATGAATATTGTGCTTCATCCTGGGATTCATGCAAAATTTGATTATTACTAAGATAAAACTTTACAACTCGGATACATGTTTTAATACTAAATTAAGTATAATTACCAGTGTTCAGTTTAGTTACTGGTAACTAAACCATTTTTTGTTTAAAAAAAAATATGATCTTTACATGTCACTATGACGTAATAAAGAAAAAATCTGTTTGTTAAAAAAGCATTCGTCATTTTTTTTTTTCCCTTTTTATCATTTGGATTAGATGAGTCATCCCGACAAAAATGTTCTTCTTCTTCTTCTTTTTGGAATGAGTATCTTCCGACTATGATCGACACAGATTCCGATCAACCTAGCAAGTCATCAGTCATCATCAAGGATATAAAGATTGGGACGAATTAATTATATTCTCATTAAATTTGTGTCCTAAAAATGGCCACAATACCCCTTTATACAGTTTATTATGACTAATCTTGTGTAACTCGATCTTATCAGTTGGGTATAAAGTTCTGTAATTGGTGTAAAAAATTCACTATCAATGTTAATCTTATATTCTTATCATATTAGGGTTCAGTTTCCCGTTAAATATAAAAAGAATAATTTGATTAAATAGGTAACATCAAAATTAAAAGATATAATGAGAACGATTAATAATGTCAAACCAAACATTAGTATAAAAACAGTAGAATCAATTAGCGAGTGACAAAACAAATGTAGCAATGACAAAGTAAATCTACACCAAAAAAAAAAAAAAAACTTGATTAATATTGTAAATTTGTGCGTCAATTATTTACTGGATTATTTCACTATTTATATTATCATTTGTTACTAAATACAGTATGTTACAAAATGCACATGAGTGTTACAAGCAGTATAATAAGATAATAATAATCTGTTACACATTTTTTTTTCGAAAAAAAAAGAAAAAAGTCATATTGTATACTCACTCCCTCTAATAAATATGATCCTATCTTATTATCCCATACGTACCATTTAATAGGAGGATTCAAACCGTAATAAAACTATTCCAAATTAGATTAAAAAAATAATATTTCAATATATATATAAAAAAAAAAAGCATCAGAATATATTTGTGAGTCATAGAATAGACCGTATATAATGTTAGTTGAGTTTCACACCACTTAATTAAGAAGAGAGTCACACGCAGTGAATATTGCCCCAACCATTTTGGATAGTTTGAACCGTGACCGGGTTGTCCGTATTCCATCACCATCCAACTTTCTTTTTTTTTTTCCATCCCCAAATATAAGCTTGTGATTTCTTTCATTTTCTTTTTTTCCTTCTTTCTTTTTTTCATTTTTAGGTTATTATTATCCTGGTAAACCCATCTCAGCGAAACTAAAATTAATCACAAAATGACACTTTTAATGAATATAAAATCAACTTTAGTTTTTTCTTTATAGAAAAATGTGTTGTTAACAAATTTTTACTGAACAATTTCACACTCTTTAATCAAAACCCAAATCAAATCATATGATTTTAGAATCCACTATTTCCAAATCTAAACCCCTCTTAACACCGGATCGTCTCATCACCACCCACCATATTTGATTATGCAATTTTCATTATTTTTTTAGTTTTCATGATGGTCTTAAAATCTTAATTATGCTCTTATCTGGGATGAGAGGGGTGTGATCAGTATGGAGGGATAGTTATTTATTACCACGAGATTGAGGATTTGATTTTTGCTGAGGCGATCTAATTTTTTTTTAAGCTCTTATTCCACAATTTTCATAAATTATCCAAACCAGTTACCCAAAATCAGACCCGTTTTCGTAATTTGAAACATACCTACAACCAAAAAAAAAACCTATGACCGGTGAGAGCCGGTAACCTGGAACCACCATCCGTTCAAAAAGTCTCAAATCATATGCTTTGGTTTTGAAGTTTGAACAACCTAGGACCGTGTTGACACTTGACGCATAAGAAAAAGAAAAGAGGAAAAATAAGAAGATAAGCTCCAATTACGTAGTACCCGATATATGAATGCGTATGATGACATTTACGGTTACAACTTACAACGTAGTAATACTGTATAAGAGCATAACTATATTAATTTAACGTAGGGAAGGTCTTGGGAAAAAGAGCGTACAATTTATAGTATTCTAAAAGAAAACGACCACACCTTATCCAATTACATTAAACTGTTTACTTTAATCAATGCCTTTTTTCCTAAAAGAATTATTTTAATGTCTTTGAATCGTGGCTTCGCTTTGATAATCCAACTAATAAGTCGTGTGTTTATATCAATTCTTTTTTAATTAGCACACTCTTCACACGTCGAGGGACGGGTAGGCCAACTTTTTTATTTTCATAAGCTTGATTAGTTTTATTTAGTGGAATAATCATCAACTAATTAGTCAATCACAAACAAATGTTTATAACTATTGGTTGAACCATTAAATAGGTGCCACTACAAAAATTTGTATAGCTAAAAAAAAATATAGCTTTGCTAATTTTTTTTTCTTTCTTTTTGTCTAAATGAGAATGTGGGTTTTTAAAATTCGAGATATCTTCACATAAAACTAAAAAATAGGGAAAAAGATGATATTATTATATTCGAGATATGTACACACAAAATTACAATTAATTAATTTCTTATGTAATAGCAGAAAAAAAGTGTATCGTATACGTTTTTTTTTTTTTAATTTATTTCCAATTTCCTAAGCACATATACGATATGGATGAAAAAAAGATGATGTAGAAGGGAGTGAATAGTCAATCTTGGCCGTCCAAACAAATTCAAATTAAATTACTTTTTTTTTGAATAATAATAAAAAATATATAATAGTCGTAGTAAGTCGGTCTTCCTCAATTCGTTCTTATCCCTTTTTGCCACACCACACCACACCACACCACACCACCACCTTCTTCTTCTTCTTCTTCTTTCTTTTCCTTTCCTTTCCTTCAGTCCTTTCATTAAATACCAAAATATTAGTAAATCTTTTCAATTAATTTCTTTTCTCAAATTATATTTCCCAAAAAATTAAACAAAAAAAATTAAAAAGATATCTATTAAGAAGAAGAGGAATTTCTCTTTCTTTCTCCCTAACTTACTTACCATATAAAAGTCGACTATCCATACATGAAATGAAACTTCCTTATGATATAAACTCGTCCTATTATTCTCCCATGAAGCATATCCTTTTTGTTTGTAATACTCACCGATAGGAGGAGGAGGAAGAGGAAGAAGTATTCGAGCAATTACTACTATTTAGTAGCGCTTTCTTGTTGAGTTTTTTTCTTCTTTTTTTAGCCGCCACCATATATATTTTAGCCCATAACAGACGAGAAAAGAAAAAAGAAAGATTAACTGTTAATAATACACCTGCCCTTTTTCAATTCGGTTTTGTTTTGGTGAGGGTTGTTGTTGGTTTTCTTGATTTTTCATCATTCTTTGAATCTTTTGTGATTTGGGTTCATCAAAAGATTGATAAATAAATTAATAAAAAGTTTTTAAAGATTTGGGCTTTTTTGGTTTTTGGTTTTTGGTTTCTTGATTAAATCATGTTGTCAAGATCTTGTTTCAATCTTCTCAACCTTGAAGACTATATCTGTGCTGATCGAACCCGGATTCCCAGAGTCATGACTGTTCCCGGGATAATATCGGATGTTGATGAGGCCACTCTGAATGGTGACAACAATGGCGGTGGTGGTGATCACAAGTCTGAGGAGATGGAGACTGTTTCATCATCAGTGAATCAGGAGAGGAGGATCATTGTGGCTAATCAGTTGCCAGTCAAGGCTTACAGGAAAGGAGATGGAGAAGATGGTCAGAAGTGGTGCTTTGATTGGGATAAAGACGCCCTTGTTTTGCAACTCAAGGATGGTTTCCCTGCTGATGTGGAGGTGGTTTACGTTGGCTGTTTGAAGGTGGAGGTTGATCCAATGGAGCAAGATGAAGTGGCTCAATTACTGCTGGAGAAGTTTAGGTGTGTTCCTACTTTTTTACCATTGGATTTAATCAACAAGTTTTACCATGGCTTTTGTAAGCACTATCTGTGGCCTCTGTTTCATTACATGTTGCCTGTCACACCTAGTAATGGGGTCAGGTTTGATAAGTCTATGTGGCAGGCCTATGTCTCGGCAAATAAAATCTTTGCCGATAAAGTTATGGAAGTGATCAATCTTGATGAGGATTATGTTTGGATACATGATTACCATCTCATGGTGTTGCCCACTTTCCTTAGGAAAAGATTTCATCGAATAAAGCTTGGGTTTTTCCTTCACAGTCCTTTCCCATCTTCCGAAATCTATAGGACATTGCCTGTTAGGGAGGAAATTTTGAGGGCCTTGTTGAATTGTGATCTTATTGGCTTCCATACGTTTGATTATGCTAGGCACTTTCTGTCATGTTGTAGTAGAATGTTGGGATTAGATTACCAATCGAAAAGGGGGTATATTGGGCTAGATTATTATGGTAGGACTGTCAGTATTAAAATTCTCCCTGTTGGTATCCACATTGGTGAGCTTGAAAGCATTAAATCATCTCCCGAAACGGCCGAGAAGGTGAAACAATTGAAACAGAAGTATGAAGGGAAAACTTTGATGTTGGGAGTTGATGACATGGACATGTTTAAAGGTATTAGCTTGAAATTTATGGCAATGGGACAGTTGTTAGACGAGCATCCAGAATATAGGGGAAAAGTTGTCTTGGTTCAAATAATGAATCAAGCCAGAAGTCGGGGAAACGATATCCAAGAGGTACAAAATGAGATCAATAGAGTTGCCAGTGAAATCAACCAAAGATATGGGATTCCTGGATATGAGCCTATTGTTTGTGTACATGGCGAAGTTTCCACCCTGGATAAGGTTGCTTATTATTCTATTTCGGAGTGTGTAGTGGTCAATGCTGTGAGGGATGGTATGAATTTGGTCCCCTACAAGTACACTGTGTCTAGACAAGGTTGCCCAAATCTTGACCAGGCCATGGGTCTTTCAGAATCTACAACTCAAAGGAAGAGTGTGATTGTTGTTTCTGAATTTATTGGATGCTCTCCATCACTCAGTGGAGCAATCCGGGTGAATCCTTGGAATATAGATGATGTTGCTGATGGAATGAATTCGGCCCTGAAGATGTCAGATGCTGAAAAGGAGATGCGCCATGAAAAGCATTACAAGTACATCACTTCTCACAATGTTGCTTATTGGGCTAAAAGTTTCAATCAGGACCTAGAGAGATCTTGTGCTGAGCATTACCTTAAGAGGTGTTGGGGCATCGGTTTTGCCTTGGGGTTCAGGGTGGTTGCTTTGGGTCCTCATTTCAGGAAACTTTCGGTGGACCATATTGTCTCTGCTTATAACAGGTCTTCAAGTAGGCTAATTCTGCTGGACTATGATGGGACTATGCTGCCTCAGGATAGAGTCGACAAAAGTCCCAGTGACGATGTTCTTGCTCTATTAAACAGTTTATGCAGCGATCCAAGCAACGTTGTGTTCATTGTTAGTGGTAGAGGGAAGGATCCTTTGAGTAAATGGTTCTCTCCTTGTGAGAAACTTGGTATCTCTGCAGAGCATGGTTGCTTTACCCGGTAAGTTCTCCATTTTTCTTGTGATTTGTGTTTAAAGTTTCTAATGCTCTCTCTCAATCTTATTTTTGTGCTCTTTCTGGCAGATGGACAAAGGACTTCCCATGGGAATCCAGCATTTCAACATTGGACTTGGAGTGGAAGAAAATTGCATTACCTGTGATGGCACACTACACAGAAGCAACTGATGGTTCTTCCATTGAACAAAAGGAAAGTGCCATCGTGTGGCACCACCAAGAAGCTGATCCCGACTTTGGCGCATGGCAAGCAAAGGATCTGCTTGATCACCTGGAGAGCGTGCTTGCAAATGAGCCTGTAGTTGTCAAAAGGGGCCAGCATATTGTTGAGGTCAAACCACAGGTATTGGTTTTTTAAAATGATTTTTTTCCCAATCAAAAGCATGATTAGTAACAAGCAGCATTATTTAACATACAAGCTGTCATAATTGCAGAGTTTATATGGCTTATTTCTTATTGATTACACCTTTTTAGCTACCTCTTTTACAGTTGATCACGCCTTCTATTGCTTGTAGTTTCTTATATTGATTAAAACCTCTTAACATTGTAGGGAATTAGCAAAGGTGTAGTAGTTGAGAATCTCATAGCAACTATGAAAAGCAGAGGAAAGTCCCCCGACTTTTTGTTGTGCGTAGGTGATGATAGGTCAGATGAAGACATGTTTGATAGCATTGCTAGCTGGGTTGCGAATCAGTCATCAGCGACGGATACAGCTGAAGTCTTTGCCTGCACTGTTGGCCAGAAGCCAAGTAATGCAAGATACTACCTTGATGATACTTTTGAAGTCATCAAAATGCTTCATGGCCTTTCAACGGCATCATCACAGTCGCAGCTTCTGTCAAAGCCTCCTCATTTTCAGGTGTCATTTGAAGGATGATGAACTAAAAGTCGGGATGATGAACTCCTGTATAGGCACCCATCTAGAGATAGCAGATACTTCACTCATTGTACAGGAAAACATACTTTTTCTCTCATAGGTACTGATGAAAGGCAATTGCAGGAAAAAAAAAAATTAACAATACGTGAAAGTCTCATTATTTCCCTGTTGGATGTTGTGGTATTTCCACTATGTTTGACCTCTGGGGATTTAGTTCTAGCTTTATGTTTTTTTGGCCCTCCTTAAATCCTAGTACTCCATGACAACTAGCAATTTGTTTGGTAGTTTCTAGGCTAGTTCATAAGATTGCTACACTTTATTCTTCCCTCTCTTTTTCAACTTGAAAAAATGTTCTTTTCCTCAACTTTCCTCACTTTGAATTTGATTGTTACGATTTTTGACACTGCATTTTTTTAATATTTTTCTGAGTCATATTTTTTCTATCAAACATTACAATTTACAATTTTTCATGTGAAATTGTGAACTATTTTTAAAGGATTTAAAGGACAAAAAGAATATTATGTTAATGTAACAAACATAATTGTGAGCGGTTTTTATGCAAAATAGTAATTGCTTGAATTTACATTTCATTGAATATTTGAATTTTTATTTGCATTTAGTATCTGTCCTGCAGAACTGTCTGCCGTACGTCGCCTATCTATCTCTATTGAATGGATTTGGAGTTATTTTCATCAATTGTAAATTTGCAAATGATCTTCACTTGTGATTCTAAATATTCAAGATTATGCATCTCCATTTTCCACGTCAAAAAAACAAAAAAATACAGAGCATGTTTATTGTAATTTCATTTTCTTTGTAATGATGTCGAGTGTTCTCTTCACTTGTGATAATTCATTCCTAGACTCTTCCTAATAGCTAAATTTTACTGAAGCATCTGCCACTATATTTTGTTGACGGGAAACCATTAGGCTTTAAACTTCAGAAAACTCCCTTATGGAAGCGGGGTGAAGGTGCACTAACTGGAGCGATAACAACTCCGCTTGACGTGATCAAGACAAGGTTGATGGTACAGCTATTTTTTAGCAAAACCCTTTTTGTTCCTTATTTGCTTTCGCACTCTCTCTTTTGGTCGATCTTGTAAAGATCTTTCAAAGAATTAACAGAGTGGTTTCTGGCATTATTGACTGGGTGTGTTTCCCTTTTTAGCCACTCTGGTACATCATTAGTCTTGCTATTATACAAGGATGAGCAAACCAGATCCTGTTCATATAAATTTCTAATTGTCTTTTAATACTATATAGAGGTGTTGTCAAAATATGACAAAATGAACAAGAGGAGCCAAATTTTGTCAGATTATCCGTGACATGATTATATTTCATCGTGCATGTCTAATCAAAATAGTCCAATTAAGATACAAGAGACCTCTAATTCTATAGAATACACTACTATTTACGATCGAGGGTCTTCGTTCATCAAAAACTTCACAGCCTTCGCGAAATCTAGCTATAGGTGAATCATGAACATGTCTAAATCCTTTAGGGGAACTTCGCAGCCTTCACATCCGCTGTCATGTTGTTGAGATACTTGCGAGATACTGTAAGAACAATGTCTTCTGCCATACAACTCAAATCTGTTCCTGCATCCCATAAAACAATTATTTCTAGAACAAAACTGTTATGAATAACTAAAGTAACTTTTACTTCGTGTCTATGTGTTCTTATAGCTTTACAAAATAAAGGTCGTTTTCCTCCATATCCAAGATCAGATGCATCTGTCTCTATTATTTTTAATGGCAGAGGATCAGGCAATGTTAAACATGGTAATGCTTTTACTTGGATTTTGATTTCCATACAAAAATGATTGTGTTTTGTTTCAATTGTTGTTTTGTTTTGCCATGATTGTGTTTGTCAGGATTACACCATTCAGAAGTAAATTTTTTGAAAGCAGGAATCTACAAACTATAAACCCACAGTACAAAAATAGCCCATATATGTAAACTAGGATTGAGTAATCAAATAGTTTATGGGGTTTTCTGGCCTGCAGCCTGCTCCAAGCTCGGCTTTTGTAGAGATGAAAAATGGCCAGCTTTACTAAATATAGTAATACAGAACCCACGATCAAAATGGAAGGAGCAAACTTTGGGCTTTGATAACAAGAATTTGAGAATGAACTTCGCTGATGAGCACAACGTTGGACTTTATTGTATTTTATATTTATAGATGTGCAACGTTTGTATCTTCTAAATCTTATTTATAAGATAGAACTTTGTACTAAATTGTGCCCTACAAAGCCATTTGGACTTTGGGAGAGTCTATAACAAAAAGTTGTTTGGATGTTGGTTTTGAAAAAAAGTATTTTGAACTATATTATGAAATATCAAGTACAAGGCATCACTAAACAATTAAATACTGTCAATTATAGTCACTGCAAAAAAGAACTTTTCCAAAAACAATCAGTCAACAACGGAATCCTGTCAAATTTGTCACTGAACTATTTGTAGTTCTAAAATGGTCATTACACTAACAAAAAGTGTTTCAAGTTGGAATTTAAACTGTAAATCAGAAAGTTGTTTGGATGATATTTTCTTTTTCATTGGGTTTTGTGTTTAAGAGGTAAAATGAGTGAAAATGTAAAATGAGGTGATGTTTTTTTTTCCGTATAATGTTCGAGTATGGTCTACGTAAATATAAAAGGAAAAAAAAAATCGTTAGAAGAAAGCACCGAAATTCAAATTCCACATGCGAGAAGCACGTTTTTGTTATTTGACTTATTTCAAGGCGGTATGGGTCATGAATTCAAAGACCCACCCGCCACCAACCCTAATTGCGGATTCACGTTTCCGACTTTATTACTCCTATTTGTATGGTTTGGTCATATTGGGTTGACTTTGTGGGCCTCTCTTAGCATTTAATCACGAATATTTAGTGTTTTTTCTTTTTTCTATCAAAATATCACAAAATTTTGATTAAAGACCACGGATAAAAATGAATGAAAAGTTTTGTTCCATTTTGATTGATCTAAGATAATACTGTAAATTCCTTTTTTTTTTTTTTTTTCCCTAAAACAAATTTCCGAACATTCAAAAAAATCACTTAATGGCCGCAGTCGACAGATAAAAATGAATAAAAATTTTTGTTCCATTTTGATGAACTAAGATGTAAAATATAAATTTTATTTGAAACAAGTAAATATGTATATTTTTATGTTTTTTTTTCCCCTTAGAAAAAGGAAATGGTCATTTTATATGTCTTATTTAATTTGACTCAAGTTTGATTTAGTAGACAATTTTAATTAATGGCATATGATTTGTATCAGCAACGTGATATAACCCATGTTGGAGTTGAATTGGATTCAGGATCATTGATACAAATTCTTGGTCGCAAAGAAATGTGTTTATGAAGCGCACAATTACACAATATACAAATGCTTTACTTCTAAAAAACGTAATGGGGAAAAGAAAAACAGATCCAAACAAAAAAATAAACAATCAACCTTGCAGAGGCTCGAGCTTGGTACGACATTATTTTTCCTATTTGAATATTTGATCATGTGCACCAAAAAAATATAGTACTACATATTTATTTGATTATCGATTCTTCGAGATTAGAACTCAGTTTGTTAGTGTACTTCCCAAAATTGTTTGAGACATTTGACTACTAATAATGTTACAATTACAATGTATGCGTATCACCATTAAGTGTATTTTAATAGGGTACACATTTTTTAGATTGTTTTGGCTGACATAATTATTACATTAATTGTAATAATCCTGCAATAATGGTATAAATTTTAATTATTAGTAAGATTCTCTAATTTATCTAATGGTAATTTACGTTTTCAACTAAATTTTTTTTTTTTTTTTTTTTGGAAATATTTTCAACTTAAACTTTAAAAACATATATGTCGAGTCTCAATTTTACTAACTCCGAATTACTGATAATCGAAAGTTCTAGAATAGTTATTTTCTTTCTTCCTTTCCAAATAATTATTCATATATTAACTTAAATGAAAAACGGAAAAAAAAAATAATAATTAGCGAATCATTTGATTGAGCCTATATTTGGGAGCTTTCCTTTTAGCTTGATTGAGTAGCACTAGTCAACATCCCTTGACTTATTACATCCGCAATTAGGACAATCATCATATAGAAAATACTAATAACTATGAATGAACTCAAAACAAAATCTTAATCAGTAAAATATATTCTTTTCTAATTCTAAAGAACAAACCAACAAAAAAATCACAGCTCAATTGAACTCATCATCATTCCTCAGAACTCCAATTGTTTCTTCACCACCTTGCTTGTTGCAAATCCTAGTGTGAAACCCAGTTTTGCTTTTCCTTTTTTTCCCCATTTTTTGCCTGACATTATATTTAATAATTTAAAGGGCCACTTTTTTGGGGGCCATTGTTTCTTCTCCTTTACTGTTCAAGAACACTTTTTTCTTTTTTTTTTTTTTCCTGGAGGGGGAGGAAGAAGATTTTCAGTTCACACCATGGAGTTGCATTGATTTCAGTGTATGTTGCCTGCGGAGGAAAACCAGACTGGAAGAGTAGGATGGAACTGAAAAAGGAGAAGCTTGTGAGGTATGATGAATGCTAATGTTGTAATTTTTTTTTTTTTTGGTTTTGATTTCTTTATGCTGAACACTCAGATGTAGCAGAAACAGGTGGAGATAATATAGGGTATGAACTGAAGAGTGAAAATTCTGAGTCTGGTGAATGGTTTGTGAATTTTTTAAGTTAGTGAGAGTGTAAATATTGGTTTTTGATTCCATGTGTGAAAAGGGTTGTATTATGGTGGTTCTGAAATCTGAAGCGCACTCTTGTTATGGAACAGTGTATATAAGATGGCATACCTCCTTTAATTTTAGGTTGAATGGCTGCCTGTTTTAGTAAGGACTCGATTGAAGCTACATCTGGTACAGATGTTACCTAGTTGAGATAAAAAGTTTATTTTTATGTCCGTGTAGTTTCTGGATATGTTTTAGTTTGGAGTTTTGAAGAAAAATCTGCATTGTTTGGTTCTACTCTGTTGGAAGTACCTAAAAGAATCCTTTTTTTTTTTTTTTTTTTTTCTTTTCTTTCTCTGTTCCTCTCTTGCTTTGTTTTCCCTTATTTATTTAAGTTTTAAGAAGAAGCTGTGTTGGAATTTTGGATAATCTATGCAGGAATCTGCAGTGTTTGTATTTGATTTGGTTGTTTGTTGGCTTAGGTTTTACTCTGATGGTAAGCAACAAAAGGCTTTTTTCTGGGGTGGGAGTTCTGAGTCATCGCAAGAAGAGAAATCATGTTCTCAATATAAATTTTCGCCATCTTTGTTGAGCAATAAAAGTGGATATAAGCTTCCGCAAAGTCTTAAGTTTGGGAAGTCTAGGGTGTTTGGTGAAGAAAATGAGCCATGGCGCACAAGAATACTTGATCCAGCCAGTGACATTGTCCTGACATGGAACAGAATATTCATTGTCTCTTGCTTAGTGGCACTGTTTGTTGATCCATTGTACTTTTACCTGCCCAGTATGGGAGGAAGCACAGGCTCGTGGTGTATGAAGACCGATACGAAGTTGAGGATTGTTGTAACTTTTTTTCGCACCATTGCCGATTTATTCTATCTTTTACATGTTATTATTAAGTTCAGGACAGCTTATGTTGCACCAAGTTCAAGGGTGTTTGGTAGGGGTGAGCTTGTCATGGATCCGAAGAAGATTGCCCGTCGATATATTACATCTGATTTCTTCATTGATCTCATTGCCACACTTCCTCTTCCGCAGGTAACTTTTGATTTATCTTGGACATTTGTGCTCTAAATTACTTCAAAATTGGTATTGCATGCATTTTTCTCAAATGCCAACTCCAGCCTAGTATGTTTCAATATTCGAATATTGACTTTCAGACACAGCACTACTAAATGTAATCCTGATCTCCCTTAATATGGGAGGTTCTGGTTCTCCATTGGAAAGGAATTTTTCTACCTTTTGGTTGTGGAATATAGTTAAGATGTTCCATTATCTTTTTCAGATGTTCCATGAAATATCATGGAGCCCAATCACAATATGGAATTCAGGTTTCAACTTGTAGAGAGAAAGATGAGTAGCCAATGTCCTTGTTAGAAAAATTTCATTTGGGCTTTTACACGTCTTCGGTTGGAAACCGTTAGGTTATTACTTTTACTTACGGTAGCATTCAGAGCTGTCCTTTTAACGCATAATCACCTTGGATGACTCCACTTGTTTTTATGTATTTCTATCTCTCCACAGTGAGTGAGCTTCAGTAGATTATGGAAATGAAAATCAGAAGGTTCACAAGATAGATGCAATATCATAAAAGCTGTTTGGGACGGTTAAAAGGATTTTGATGGGTTTCCAAAAGGTTTAAAATGTTGAAGGGGCTATCTGAGGGCAATGAGAATCTGTTACTAAAAGATATGCAGGAGTGTATCTTTTATGGAACTACTGTTTACGGAACTCAAATGAATTTATAAAAGAATGCAGAACTGTCTGTATTTCTGGGCTGTATGAAATGGAGAAAGAAATCAACAAACTCACATTTTTAAAAACTTCAAAAGTTTATTGCTGAAAGTTCATGCACTTTGCTTGGTTCCTGCTATTTTGATACTCATTTAATCTTACTAGAGTAATGTACGTGGAAAGATGGGGAAACATTTGAATTTTTTATCCATCTGAATATGTCAGCTTTTTTCTTCAGGAAAAGAAGTCAACTTTCAGTTTTGTTGGTATTTTTAATTGCTTTCTGCTGCAATCCTTGGCTTCTAACTTCTGAACAAAAGTAAGACTAAGAACAACTCTCTTTCAGATAGTTATCTGGTTCATCATACCCGCAACCAGAAGTGATCAAGCTACTCACAAGAACAATGCCCTTGCTCTCATTGTTCTAATCCAGTATATTCCAAGGCTATATCTGATATTTCCATTGAGCTCACAAATTATTAAAGCAACTGGGGTAGTCACAAAAACTGCTTGGGCTGGAGCTGCATATAATTTGCTATTATACATGCTGGCTAGCCATGTATGTAATTCTTTCCAACCTTACTTTTATTTTTCAATAGTTTTTCCCTTCTTTCATTTTCTTTTCCCCTTTTTCAGTTTCCTCTTCTTTTTTGCGTTTAGAAATTTTATGATGTACTGAATCAATGACCTAACAAGTTTCTTCTTTCAGGTACTAGGGGCGGCTTGGTATGTATTGTCAGTTGACCGATACACTTCCTGCTGGAAGTCGGAATGCAGAAATGAAAAAACTCCTGTTAAATGTTTGCTTCACTATTTGGATTGTGGTACTTCTGATTCCACCGATCGAAGTAATTGGGCAAATGGAACACAGGTGTTCAAAAGATGTTTTCCTGATGATAATTCTGATCTCCAATTTGGCATATTTGCAAATGCAGTCAAGAAAAAAGTCGTCTCTTCAACGTTCTTGGAAAAGTATTTCTATTGTTTGTGGTGGGGCTTACAGAACCTGAGGTAATCACATCCTAGCTAATTCCTTCCTTAGATAGTCTGATATTAATTGCCCAATCTTAATATCTTAAGCGTTTTGTGTTTTCTCTGGTTTAGTAAATGGCCCATTGTTGTCACAAACGAGAACCAACAACATGTTGATGATACAGATGGATGTAGACTTACTGGAATTATCTTTAAGCATTTGAGTGAGCTTTGAAGCATGTTTTAAAAAATAGCCCTTACTGAAAAGCTCGCCAAAGGGATCAAACTAGAAATTCAATGAGATGTTGAAAGTTCTGTGGACCAAGTACATTAAACTTACAAATTCACTGATTCTTTTTAGTCTGAAAGTTTATTCTACTTGGGGAGGTTAGCTTTAATGGGTAAAGGCATTGATGTAAAGTAATTTAGGAGCAAGGTTGCAGAATAGAACTTGCCTTTTTTGTTTCTGAATGTCAATGAACTACTCTTCCAATGATTGAGTCATATTTCTTGTTTGGTTTTTAGCAAACTCTTACCTAAATTTCTTGACCAGTTCTTATGCGCAGAACCTATCAACGAGTACGTTTATTGGGGAAACACTATTTGCCATACTCATTGCCATTTGTGGCCTTGTTTTATTTGCACATCTTATTGGAAACATGCAGGTATGAACAAGGGTTGTTTTTATTTCAACTTTTGTTCTACATTCTAAACTCCTGCAAATGTCTTCAGAGTTGAACCTTGAAACACTTGGATTTTTTTTCCCTTTTTTTTTCTTGTTTCGTTCTACTTACTAAAAGTTACTTCGTTCTGCTTCATGCAGACATACTTGCAATCCTTAACTGTGAGGCTTGAAGAATGGAGACTTAAGCGAAGAGACACTGAAGAGTGGATGCGACATCGCCAACTGCCGGAAGATTTAAGACGGCGAGTTAGACGATTTGTTCAGTACAAGTGGGTTGCAACTCGAGGAGTTAATGAAGAAGCTACTCTGCGCGGGTTGCCTGCTGATCTGCGTCGCGATATCCAGCGTCACCTCTGCTTGGACCTAGTTCGGCGTGTATGTTTCCTTGACCATTTAATATTGGACAATCAGATTGCTTGTGGATCAATGCTTAGGTTTTTTTTTTTTTTTTTGACTACTTTTAAATCCTGCAGCATTGTAGATGAGCAAATTGCATGAAAAGATGGTCTACAATTCTGTTTCTAGTTAAAATATCATCAGTGAGTTCTTTCATATATACATTTAGTACAAATAGTCTCGACTCCCCTCTAAATCACTCATAAGCTCTGATTGCTAGTTTACGTCTGCTGCATTCTTTCTGTCAAATATCCATGTCTTAATGCTCACATCTACTAGCCAAACTAACCGCCATTCTTTTTCAGGTACCTTTTTTCTCACAGATGGATGATCAGTTGCTTGACGCTATATGTGAACGTTTAGTCTCCTCCTTGAGCACTGAGGGAACATACATTGTACGCGAGGGTGATCCTGTAAGTGAGATGCTCTTTATCATCAGGGGGAGACTCGAGAGTTCCACTACAAACGGAGGACGAACTGGCTTTTTCAATAGTATCATACTGCAACCTGGAGATTTTTGTGGGGAAGAACTACTTGCTTGGGCTTTGCTTCCAAAGTCAACCACCAACCTGCCTTCTTCGACTCGTACAGTTCGAGCACTGATTGAAGTTGAAGCCTTTGCCTTGAGAGCTGAAGATCTCAAATTTGTGGCTAATCAGTTTAGACGACTCCATAGCAAAAAGCTGCAGCACACATTCCGGTTCTACTCTCACCACTGGAGGACATGGGCCGCATGCTTTATCCAGGCGGCTTGGCGTCGACATAAGAGAAGGATGTTAGCTAAAGATCTTCTTGCCATGGAATCCTTTAGTCTCGGCTCCAAAACAGAAGATGATACTGAGCCTGAAGAGGAAGACGACAAGTCTGTCTCAAGATCAAACTCATCTTCAGCAAGATCAAACCTTGGAGTCACAATATTGGCCTCAAGATTTGCCGCCAACACGAGGAGAGGAGCTCAGAAGCTAAAAGGTGCAGGCTTGCCCAAGTTGCAGAAACCGGAAGAACCTGACTTTTCAGCTGATCCCGAGGACTAGAGATCGTGATTGCTAGAAAACAGATATCCGTCCAAATGGGTTGCAGATAATTGGATGATCCCAGTGCAGGAGCATACTCACTATTCATATCAACCTGGGTGCTCGAGGATGTTATTGACAGGCTCCATTATGGTTCCGCTCCCATTTTGTTCCCGGTGCTAACAAATACAGAGCTCCAATCCAATCATCACCTTGAGGGGAACGGCTGCGCCCTGGGGAACCGATTATTTCCTCTTACATGTACACCTAATGTTAATCCTTGCGGGTAGGAAGAAAAATCTAACTTTTACGCCTTGTTTGTATCGTAAGCATAAAAAAATACCACTACCTGCAGTTGGTGTTGGCTACTTACTTTCCCCGAAAATGGGGAATAATGACTTTTATTAGATCTTCAAAAGGTAGATAGCCATTGTAATATCCGCGGGATTTGACATGTTAACTTAAATGTTACTATAATTTATTGTCAAGTTGGAGTTCTATATTTTATCTTGATCTAGTAAAATGGTGGAGCATAAGAGTATTAAGTTATAAACTAAAGTTCTTAACCTCACTTTTATCTAGAAACCCTCGAGTAACATGAAGTTAGCTTACCTTGAGAAGAAAGTAGTCAAGTTGTGATTAATTATTTAATGAGAATAAATTGGGGAATGTACGAGGGAAGTAAATTCGATCTTTACACCTAAATTGAATTAGTAAATTGAAATAAATTTAGGACAAGTGACTATGTAACAAAGCGTGGACAGTAAATAATTCTCACCACCGACTCTTTTACTTGGCTATAAGTTTTTGAACTAAAGCTTTCTTTTCAATTTTATTTCGTCTCCCTGGGCATCAACTTCACTCAACACCCCTATGTTATCTTCGTCATCTCCCGAAGCTTAATTACCTCAACATCTTCATCACACACACCACCGCCACCATCCTTCCACTAATGTTCTAAAAGCTTTCGTTGATCCGGTCAGGACTCGAAACTGATCAGTATTAAACTAGTTTCACGAACACAGCCATCGAGCTAGCTGCCAAGGAAGTGAAAAAGCAAGAGAAATCGAAGACAAGAATTAATGAATTGTGGGTTTGGATTTTGACACTCCACTGAACAAGAAGATTAAGAAGGGTTATTCTAGTTCAAAAGTTTGTTAGGTGGCTACGTGCCAGTCATGTAACCACCTTGCTGAAACCCGCGAGTAAAGTCAGCGATGGGGGATTTGCTCCTTTAATTACTTCACCATAAGAATTAAAGTTAGAACATGAACAATCTTATAATCACTACTTATCGTCATAAAAGTTACAGAAGAAAACAAGATATAACAACATTATGCCTTTGATACTTTGATACTCAAAACAAAGTGCTCACAAGTATTTTAAGAATGATTAGTGACCTTATGCGATAGAGTTGAAGGGTCAAAAACGCAGAACCGTGTCGCTAGTAACTTGACAATATTATAATTTATTTGAAAAGCATTTGTACAGAAATAAATATCGAGCCTAGGTAGTAGTAAAGTGTTGCTAGTTCCAGCTAAGTGTCAAGCAAGTAGTCCAAGAATCATAAGAAAGTATAAATATTATGACTAGTCCAACTCCGTGCAATTAACTAAATATAAAAACAATATTGTTTGAGACAAAATAGATGGTACTTTATGTATTGATGAGATTTTTGTATCAATTAGGGTGGTCGTGACATCGTTAATCTGTTATTCACAGAATACATGTGCAAATGCATTGGCTTGCCTATTGGTACAGGTGAGTAATTCTCACTTTTTTGAAAATTAGGAGTATGGAAATATGTATTTAAAAGTCATTACACTCTTGAGCATATTTTTAAATGTTATTGAAATATGAAATGCATATCATTGAAGGACCCGACAGTGTACTTAATTACATCGGGATATGTGTTCTGGGTATTACCATATCTGAGATAAAGTGATATTGTTATGTGATTGAACGTTATTGTTGACTGGGTATTGGATTGAGTATGATATGTGAATGTGTTGCTTCTAGTGGTGTACTTTATCACTCCAGGACAATATTGTTGTTATCGATCGATTGTTGTGAAATAACGTGTGATTGTTACTTCGGTGGACTCTGTTCACTTGAAGCCTGGGCCCTGCCTTTATTAGGCGAAGCCTTGCAGGCCGGCATCGGGCTTGGTCGCCAGGTTAGCTTACCTAGGCTTATCGTGTTGTCTGGATGGACGCGAAGCTCTTGAGTATCCAGTGGTGGCCACGAGGTGTTGAGGAGGAATTGTTATTGGCATTGAATCGTTATCGTTATCGTATTTTGAAATCTGGTTCGGAATCTGTCTTTGCGCCACATAGGCTCTCTGCCAATCCTTGCTAAGTTTCCTTGTATCCACCCTATTGTTAACTGTTTATGTGAAACAGTTGATTGTTGAATGATTATATGTGAAATGATTTTTCTTTCAAATGTGTTTTATCAAAATAGTTTTAATAAAAGTATCGTAGTAGTATAGTGAGAATCTCACTGAGCTCGGCGCCCACCCGTTTTTATATTTTATTCCCGTATCTCACTCCCAGGTCTAGAATGGATGCAGATGAGTTCAAGAGAAGCATTCTGTCGAAGGAAACCGTCTGCAAGAGATGCTGTTGTTAATAAGTTGTAATATGAAATAGGTTTGAGTGAACATTTTAACTTAACGTTTAGGATTAACATTCGGAAACGATACTTAATAAACTTTATTGAGTTATTTTAGCATTTGTACATCAAAGTAAATAGCAGTAACACGCCTTGGGTGAGAGCCCAGCGAACGGCTCAACTCGTAACTAAACATGACGAATAAAAACATATAAGTGAGTTGAGTCGTGACAGCCATAGTAGTATTACTTTCATTCGAGCATTTTGCTCAAGATTTTTCTGAGTTGTGCTTGTGTTCTTTCGGAAGTTTGATTTATAAATTCTTAGAAATTTGCATGCATACTTCATTAACTACTGGAAATGTAATTGCAAAGTAATGGCTTTTATCTATTTTTCTTTTTCATAATTTCTTTTGAAATCAAGTAGTCATATTGGACCCTAGCCCGACTGAACTGCATAGTTTCCCTATTTTATGTACATTGTAAAATAGTTATCTTGTGGCGAATAGTTTCTCTTTTAGTACGCAATTTAGTAATTCCACTCATTCCTCTCTTAATCAAGCAAAAAGTACTAAAAAAGAAGCAAAACAAATATCCAGAAGCAAAACAAATAATAATCAGAGGGCCCCAGAAGCAAAACTAATAATTGAGTGTTCAATATCAGGAGTTTAAAGCTAATTATAAGCAAAATAGTATGATCTTCCCTTATTTACAACTCCTACCTTAGTCAAGATCCACAAAAACAGTTTGGTCTTACAACTACTACCTTTGTCAAAGATCCACAAAAACAGTTTGATCTCACAACTACTACCTTTGTCAAGATCCACAATATTTTGATCAAGATTCAGAAAAAGTGTAACTAAACATTAATCAAGATATGTTAAAGATACTGCGCCTGCCGGGAGCTGGTCAATAATCTTCTTTCTAGCATCATCCAGAGCCCTAGACCAACCCCTCAAGACTAAAAATGGAACAGGTTCAACTCCAATCCCATGCACTTCCTCACTTCGGGTTACCTCCAACCCAACATCTTCACACAGAGACACGAGACGATCCATTTGTATAGGGAAAATACCAGCATTCAAAAATTAAGAACAGCGAGTGTAACATCATTTCCTACTATGTTCCAGAACTTTTGAAAGAAAACATAAGACATACCGTCCGGACCAGGCAATTTAAAAGGATGCATTTGTTTGATTGCCTTCTTGACCTCGTCTTTTGTGTAGAGCGCTGTTAGCTATGAGTTCATGTTTGCTGTAACCCTCCTCCATAGACGCCCCATAGCTTGTTCTAAATCCGCTTCATTAATTGTAGAGGCTGAGAAAATCTCCTTGAAGTAACCTGTAATAATTTGTTCCAGTGCCTCCACTGAACTTTGCAAAGTGCCCAGATTGTCCTTCAAAGCCGAAATATGGTTTACCTCCCTTCTACGAGAAGCATGAGAATGGAAATACTTGGTATTGCGATCACCCTCCCGATACCGGTGATGTTTTGCTCTTTGTTTTCATTTTAATTCTTCCAGATCCAACAAAAAATCCAAGTGCAGAGTTGAATCTTTACTTCTGGAGTGATTTGACCCTTCTCGAGCACCTTAATTTCATGTCTAACCGAATCAATCTGTTCCTTGACATTTCCTATCGACGAGTGGCTCCACCTCATTAAACCAATGGCGCAATTATTTAATTTATCAACAATGGATTCTAGGTCAACATTCCAATTATCCTCTATCGTTTTTGCACATTCCTCATATTTCACCCATAGCGCTTCAAAACGAAACCTTTTCTTTTTCCTGGGACCCGATACAGGAAAGGATTCCTTAAATTGAAGATGGATTAAGCAATGATCAGACCTAAAGGTGGGGATATGTGCAACCCAATTCTATGCAAAAGTTTCTCTCCACCGGGAATTGCAAACCGCTCTATCCAATCTCGCTCATTGTGTGAAAGGGCTGACAGAGAGGCAACCCCAAGTAAACTGGTGACCATTATATCCCATATCCGACAACCCACAATGATCTAATGCAGCCCCAAAAACATTGATTTTCCTGTCAGGTTGCAGTCTCGAGCCAACGAAGTCAGATTGTGATAAAACTTCATTAAAATCACCAATACACAACCACGAGAGATTGTTATGATCCTTTAAGTTCTTAAACTGTTCCCACGCTATATGACGGAGGCTCGCGTTGGGCTCTCCATAGAAGCCAGTAATGCGGACAACGTGATCAAATAAAACGGCCTCCACATCAATAGGGCAAGCCAGCCAGAATTTCCAACAGCATCAACAACAAAGCAGTGCATATTAAGCCAATTCTTAAGCCTTCCTATATCTAAAGCATGGCACTTGGTTTCAGAAAGAAAAACCAAGAGGGGAGACTTTATGCGAACTTGATCGCATATTTCCTAAATTGTCTAGGGGTTCCCAAGCCCTCGGCAATTCCATGCAAAGAGACTTATGGCTGTCGGCAGGATTGGCCAGCCTCCACCGTTGACCAAGAAGAAGTGATAACCTCAGCCACAATCATATCATTGTTGTCATCCACATCACACTGCAGTGCCTTTTTGCTATCATGAGTTTGCTGCTCATCCTCCCCCTCATCTGAGATCTGAAGGCGCCTTCTCACATTGCCAGAAAGCTTATTCTCAGATCCAACGGGACGAGCAACCCTGTTGTTTAAAGATTGACGGCGGAAGCGTGCAGTGACGGCCCATTTTGCTGATTGTGAAAGCTCCACCGGGACTTCTGTCATGAAAGGGCTGGACGGAAGAAAGATAGATGGTGCTGTGGAGTTGGGGGGAAGGTTAGGCAACGTAAGTTCTTCCTGATGAGGTGAAACTGTTGCTATAGCCTGAGGCGAGGGAGGTGAGTGGTCATAGTTAGCTTGAGGATGTTGTTTCAGGGCTTTTTCTGGACTGAGCATTTGGATTGTAACAGAGGAAGGGAGGGATAGTTTTGGTATGTGAGAAGGGGTGTTGGATGAGTCACGGTTGGAGGTTGTTGGGGGAACGAAAATATTTCTTTGTGGTGCAGGTTACGGGTCAAAGCTTTGAAAAAGAGATTGGAACAGCTCCGCTACAGGGATATGTTGACTGTGAGGGTGGGGATCAGTACGATACCGGGAGGGGGGGAAGCATATTTAGAGTTTGTAGAGGTGGTAATGGCTGAGGTTTGAACTGTTTCGGTTGGTGGTAGAGAAGCTGAGTGGTCTGATTCTTGTGACGAGGCACGAACATCAAATTGTCGTCTTTGCGGAAACGGATTACTTGTAGTTTCAGCTCTGAGAGATGAATTATATTTCATAGGACCAGTTTTTGGCATGGAATTCATGATCCTTTGCTCACACTGTTGCACTTTGTGACCAATACACCCGCAGAAGAAACAAAATTATGGAAGTCGTTCATAGCGAATTTCTGCCACAAAAGATTGACCCTTATACTTGGCCCTGAGAACAAGACGAAGCGCCTTAGTAATGTCCATCTCAACACGAATACGTAGGAATCTACCAATAACCGAACCCTCAGCGTCTTGATCAACTGAAAGAAAACGGCCAAGGTTGTTCCCAACTTTCTCCACAAACCCTAGATTCCTGAGACCTAGAGGGAGGTGGTGCAGCTGAACCCAAAGAGGGCAGCGAGAGAAGTCCAGACGTGTGAGCTTCATGTCATCTGGAGCATCAATCAGATTTAGCAGGTGAACACGTTCAACCGTCCATGGAGACTGCTGAATACGCTTTTTATCAACCATATTAGAGAAGACAAAAAGGACCATGTTATCTTCTAGAGTTTTGTAAGATAGCTTCCCTCTTGGATTCCATGCACGTCTGAGTGATTTCACTATGTCACCATAAGGCATAACTTGAGTAGACATAACCCTACCTATTAGACAGTACGTAGGATCAACATCGAGAGGGTAACCTTCACCCCCCTCAATCTCCTCCCCTAGATCGTCGAGAGATAACCAGGAGCAAAGGCTTTCCAAGTTGTCCTCCATAGCCAGTTTGAGAGTAGACAATAGCGAGGCTATCGAGAAGGAGGAAAAAGTGAACAAAAATCCTAACTGTCACGCCTATACCTAGATGAAGTCCTGAAGAAACAAAAGCAGAGAAAAAACAAGACTTTAGAGATTTTTAAAAGAAAGAAATCAACTGAGGAAGAGAAAGCAAGCAAATTAATGGAGAAAGGTGTTATTTGAGGAGGAACAGATGTGATTAAGAGGGAGAAAAGAGGAGTCGCCATTAGACGCCTTTAGCTAAAGAGAAAACCCTAGCGAGCCATTATGTTATTATGATGATTTTTTCACTAAACGGACCGAACGGATTGAAACAAGTCGAGAGATTTGAGCAGAAGCTCCGAGGAGGTCACAACCGAGCGCCGAACGGACCGGGATTACCTAAAAACTGGAAAATAAACAGTTCAAAAATCAGATTTTTGTGAGAGATGTATTTCTTCATTGAGGAACAATACAGGCTGTATCCATATGATAATCCACGAGTGTGTTTGGTAAGCGCTCCTTTTGACTACCTCTAAACTTAGTCCTCTACCTTTTTTCCTCTTTTTTTTTCCTGAAAAATGATCCAGGATATTACATGCCAGATTCCTTTTCTTTTACATCGGCGATCAATTCAGCTTTTCCCGCTTTATTTAAAATTCGGATTGCTTTCCCTCTTTCGGAAAATTTTTTGGCTAAAGTATATATACCTTAAACCGGGTTGTTCAAATGAAAACAGTATTAATCATCTCGGATTTCTCTTTTTTACCTCGTAATCCGATCATCAGTTGGGGAGGATGGATTTATCCGATCCATATGGACCCGACCAATAACATTTGACAGGCCAACCAACTACTTATAAACTTCCAATGTCAGCTATAGCATCATTGTCTACGGTGCGTTCAGCATGCTGGAATGAGAATGGATGTATCTCTTGAAAGCCCACATATGATTCTAACTCAAAATTAATTGGTGATGGGGAGTAGTACATGTGGTTATATATTGGTTTCAAGTGTCTCCATCGATCCATGTGGGACATAGGTATATTCTCAACACCCCTCTCAAGCCCGAAGGGGTTGGAAAAATTGAATAAACTGTTGCATCAGTAAAGATCCATATATAACTGGATAAGTACAAGAAATAGAAATAAAAGCCACAATTTGAGTAAATAGAAGAAGTAAAAATAGAACACCTAGATTTGGGTAAGTAGAAGTAGAAGGCCTAAACGTGTAAGTAAATCATACCTCGGATATAACTGTCGGGTCAGTCAAAGCCTGCTCCACAAGTCTCGTAAGTCCGTGGATAAAACCCGTTTGATCCATCTTGAAAGTCCAAATATAGACCCACATGTGTTCCACCTTAAATCTAATTGGTGATAAGGGAAGTAGCACATATGGTTATATATTAGTTTCAAGTGTCTTTATCTATTCATTTGTGACATGGTTATATTCTCAACAGTATCGAAATATTATTACGATTCTAATCATTATGATGTTCAATAACAAAAAAACAAATGTTAAGCAATCACATGACATATATGATAAGATCGAAGTAATCTTATGCATTTGATATTTACTACTCATATTTATAATAAAAACTTTCAAAAACAATTATCACAAGCCAAGATATTTTCTCCCTCACTTTTGTCACTTTTGCCTCCATATTTTCAAGATTATCTTCAAATTTTCACAACATTTTAATCATGAACAACAAAACATGTCATTAAATTATTAGATAATTTTATCACAGTTCATCAATCAAATTTATTTCTAAAATAGGCAACTACACTAAGCAAAAAAAATCCATCCGAGGCCATTCAGTTAATTTTGGTCATTACGTAGTGACAGAAAATCATTTTTCACCTATTTTTGGATTTAGGGGAATTTTATCATTTCGTATTTTTGCCTTTTATTTAACTTTTCTATTTTTTTTAAAAAAAATTTCAATTGTGCTTCTTGTACTTCGTAACTTGTATATGTTGGTACTAGTATAAATATTAAATTTCAGAATTAATTTATTTTTTGTATTTTAACGTCTAGATTATAAATGTTTTTTTTAAAAAAGTAAATAAATAAAGAGGAAAAATTTGAGTTGAAGTAAATATGAAAATTAATACTTTATCATTTTAAACCTAAAAAAATTAAAAGAATTAGTTAATACAAGTCTTTTTTTTTTAGGTTTATTTTGGTCGTTAAAGAGTAATAAAAAAACTATCTTTTACATGCTTTTGGATCCAGAATTAATTTCATCATTTTGAACTTTCTTTAAAGAAATTAATTATAATTAATTGTCTATTCTTTTCTACAACTCGTATACTTATACTTCCTAACTTATATATGTTGGTGTTAGTATAATCATCAAATTTCAAAAACTATTTTACCTTTTTAATTTTAATTTCTACATTATAAAAAATTAAAAATAAAAAAATGAAGAAGAAAAATTCGATTTGAAATAAACGTAAAAATTAATAATTAAATATTTAAATTCAAGTTAAAGATAATTAAATAAACTAGATTGAACAACTTGACGTAACTGTTTCTCATAGTTCTATTTATTTAAAATGGTAAACTATTAATTTTCATGTTTATTTTAACTCAAATTTTTTTTCTTCATTATCTTTATTTTTTAAAAAACAAAGTAAATTATAATCTAAAAGTTAAAATACTAAAGATAAATTATGTTTTGAATTTAGAAATTATGCTAACTTAAACATATACAAGTTAAGAAGTATAAGAAAAAGATTTGTAAGAAGTTTAAAAATACAAAATGACAAAATACCTATGAACTCAAAAGTATGTGAAAAATAGTTTTCTGTCACTACTTACAGCCAACATTAACAGAATGACATTGGATGAATTTTTGGCTTAGTTTAGTGACCTATTTTTAAAAATAAATTTAAATGAAATTACCCTATAGTTCAATGACCTGTTTTGCAGTTTGCTCTTTTACTTAATAAGTTAGATTTTGAATTTCACTTGGGCATAAAACCAAAGCTTATGGATATTATTTTACAACTATGCATTGAATGTTTTCCATCTTGATTTTCTTTTAATGTTAGTTTGTATGAAAATTTTAAGTTTATTGTAAAAAGAATACTACTATTTTTTCTACTCCCATAAATAAGAACACTATAATAGAAAAGTGATTATGATTTTTTAACATTTCAAAACATTGGAAAGGGAATTGACAATTTCTTTAATGAATTGACTTTTCTTGACTAGAAATAAGATTACAATTCCTTCATTCCCATTCTAGTGCTCTAAACACACCCTAAAGGGATTCAAACACGAAATAGATAACTCCTCGCTAATAAATATGGTTTAGTACTCTTCAATCAAAGTACGCTCTCACAAGCGCAATTTAAATAGCTTTATATTTTTATCAAGCCATTCGCTAACTTAAGTATCGAAGTGCTAACTCTCGGTTCGCTGACTAAAGTCTCAAAGTGCTAACTCTTAGTGAGCCGGGGTTTAGTCTTCTATTCTTGTGATTAGGGTTTTCACCGGAAATATACAGTTCAACCGATAGTCCTCCGCCAAGTGGCATTAACTGTGGGGACCCTATGTTTTCTTTTTTTGAGTTTTCTTTTATTTGGAAAATCATGGTTTCTTGATTGAAAAGAAATCTCTTGAACTTGGTAGCAAGCACCATGATTGACACTCGGAAGATTATTGCGACTGATACGCATGATAATCGAAAGAAACAGCCAATGCTGGAAAAGAAAAATGCTACGAAAAATGTTGCGGCACACAACTTAAATGCTGGGATGGGAACGATAATGTGGTGAAGAAAACACAAGCATTGATGTGTTTCGCTCTACGACAATCCCAAAGCACCATTGGTTGTTTAAGAAAAACACTATCCTGATGCAAGAAGAACTCGAGGCTTTATCAAAAAGTATGAACCTCAATTCGTCAAAGGCTGACAGAGGTTGCCCAAGCTAGGGTTGATTAGAGGGAGGTATGGGAAGATCACCACCTTCATGAGTTGCCCCCCAATGAGGCTGGCTATCAGGACGAATGAAGTAGAGAAAGTGTTGGGTGTGTAAACCCAATGCCACATCGGTGACGGAAGAGTTCTAAACTCAGTATATAAGTCTCGTGGTTTACTCCCTCTATTAGCAATTGGTTTTAGAGTGCAACCCCATTTGGATTTATGTATTGGGCTTGAGAAGTACTGGACTAGGGAAGAAGGATGGCAACAAGTGGTATCAGAGCCCCAGATTAGGCCAGTCGGGTGGGTGATTTAGCCCAAATTATCTCGGTCAATCTAAGTGAACCCCAGGCAGTCAAAGGCCCACTACAAGCCGGAACGTAGGGATGGGCGGTCCAGTTACTCAAGTGGAGTACGGATTTGGGCTTGTTAAGATAATCTGGAAGTCCGATGTGGAGATTGCCCATGACGAGGAAGAATGTTGAGGGTCATGTGGCAAGGATTGTGAATCCCACATCAGAGGTATGAGGACATGTGAATCAGTTAATAAGTAAAGTGGACTCATGACCCATTAGTTTGAGTTTTTGAGTTCAGATGGGTTTTATCTTGCTTATTGGGATTCATGCCCTTTTCGCCACAACAAGTGGTATCAGAGCCACGGTTCTAGCCCATTTGATGTGCGGATAGCGTGGCATGTTCTCCCAGATTGACTTTATAATGACTTGTGGGCTTAAGGAGTAGAGCCGGTGCCTAATTGTGGGCCTTGTGTTATAAATCTTCATGACAATGGTGGGTCAGGCGGTATGTTCCGCGGGTGATGACGATGGTACAAGTTGGATTGTCGTTGAAGGGAATGCCCAGGTGTGTGGTCTTGTGTTTGAGGATAGGTTTGTTGGGTGTGCAAACCCAATCCCACATCGGTGACGGGAGAGTTCTAAGCTTAGTATATAAGTCTGGTGGGTTAATCCCTCTATTACCAATTGGTTTTAGAGTGGAACCCCATTTGAATTTATGTATTGGGCTTGATGAGTATTGGACTAGGGAAGAAGGATCCCAACAAGTGGTATCAGAGCCCAAGTTGGGCAAGTTGGGTGGGTG